CTTCCTTACATGGGCACAGTCTAACCCTGATTAAAATCTTAAGGAAGGATGAAATAAACCCACAATCTTGTCACTCATCTGGAGTTGAACCATCTGTCGTTTATTACCATGCAAGGAAGAAGAGCTGCACATTCACAGTGGGCTGAGTGGCAGCGAAAATAGCTGGAAAGAGCCTGTGGAAAGCTGGGGGAAATGGTAAGAGAAGCTGCAGGGGGAAAGGAGGCTGGGGAGAAAAGGCGTGGCAGAGGAGGGGTGAGGAAGCAGAGACAGGAGAGAGGACAGTCCAGAAAGAGATGTATATAGGTGCCAAAATGTTTCTCTGTGGTTCTGATCTCATCACTTTTTCTGGATAAATCCTTCAGGAAAGAATATCTGCAGGGATCCTCCTTGTAGAGTTTCCCTATAGCCATCACTACTGTCCCCCTGAAGTTATACCTCCCTGCCGATTTTCTGCATCCTAGAAATCTTGAGTGCCCAAATAAGAAGTTAGGACCATCCAAAATGAGGGACTAAACAGCATTAGGACCTGCAAACTCCAGTGTCACAAGCACTGGTTGTACAATGGTACAATTCTAACAGCTCCCGTTTGAGGTTAAAGAAATAATGGTTCACGAGACTGGCTGACACCTGGAATGATTTAATCAGGCCATCCCTAATGTAAATGACATTGACTCACATTTCCAGATGTAGGTGGAACTGGCAATTGTCTTTTCCTCATAATTGTCTTAACTTGCTTTGCTAGTTAGAAATATTTTTCTAGGTTATATTTCAAATCTGGTAATCATTAGAGTTACATTCTTTCCATAGATGTTTGTATTTATAGTCAATGGGAACATCTAGGACAGAATTTGACCTACAAACTTAAATATGTAGCAGCAGCCTAGATAGAAAAATCTGTACTTAAGTCTGAACCAGAACTAAAGTAAGAATGCTTGATACATACATATATACACAAAATTTAAAGTACGAATGCACAAATTGGGGCAGGCAAGATTTTTGTGGGTTGTTTTTCCCTCACCCCACTCCACCCCTGAAGTATTTCTGATTGCTTGCCTTTAAGAAATCTTTCCATCAAATTTAATACAATGGCATTCTCACAGATAACAGACGAGGAAAAAAAACAACTTTAAATATTAGAATTTTTAAAAACTTGGAATTTTCTGAGAAGTTTGAAAGAAAATAGTATATGGAAAGGGAGAAAATTGTGACGTACTGGTCATCACCCCATTGGTTTTTCAACCAGCTGTGTTTGTAGCCTTTGTCTCTGCTTTCCTCCCTACCTTTCCTCTCATCCAAAAAGTGTTTAGACCGTGCTCCTCTTCCTGGCTATCTGCCTATTCTTTCCCAAGGCATGGACTTATTCCAGACCCTTGCAATTAAACAATACTCTGTGATGTTACAGTGATGCAAGCTGACCATAGTTAAGCTGACTGCACTGGAATGCCATGACTTTGACCACAAAGATTTGACCCAATTACTGTGACCTGACACGCTTGCAATCTAGTACAGCCTGAAGTCTCAAAGCAAGAGCCCCTGAAACCACTAGAGACTTATGTGAAAGCTGGAACCAAGCAGAACAAGACTGAATTAAAACCAGGAGAAAGGCTCTCCAAAAAACTGTAATGATATTACATAGTTTGGCAATACATGCTTGCTTTGCTTGCTAGAGGACATTGGTTGAGATGTCTACATGCTTTTTAAGAACAGAAGTCTTAACAATCCAGGAGGAAATGGCAGAGCTGACTATATCTGCTTCTGAATATATATGTAAATATTAGAGAGACAATGCAGCCTGTGTGCTGACTGATCAGTGTGTAGTAAAGCTCCACTGCAGTGCAAAGTGGTGGTAGGGTGCCGTGCAGCACTTGAACAGATCCATGAGGCGTTCTGCGACTCTGTCCGTAACAGCGAGGGGTTACACTGCGGTAGCCAAGGCAGCTGTAGAAGAAGGTAAGGAAACATTTAATGTGGGCAGGCTTTGTGCTTAACAACCATATCTGCAAATCTTATGCAGCAGGTTTTTATCCTGGTGATTTTGCAACATTCATAATATAAGGAGCTCCTGGTTTTGTTTTTTTCCACTTCTATAGTATCTATAAAGCAACCTTTAAAAATCTTCTTCCCCACCCCTTTAAATACCAAAGCAACATTTCCTTGCTCTGTTAGCACCATTGATTAGAACATTGCACTGACGTGGAACATTTGCACCTGTACCTTACTGCAGTCATAGTGAAAGTCACCGTATTTATTCCTTGGAAGTCAAACAGGTAGAAGATACGTCAAGAAAAACTGTCAAAGTGTCAAATCTCACTAAAACCAAAACACTGAAAAAAAAAAACCCCACCCACAAAAAAAAAAAAAAAAAAAAAAAAAAACCCCCCCCCCAAAAAAAAAAAAAAAAAAAAAAAAAAAGCAGGCTACTTGCCATTGCTCAATTGCTCATTGGCTTTGTCTGTAAAAGCTTCTGAAAGCTGCCTGCAGAAATTTAGGAAACACCACTCTGTAGTAGTCCAGGATCTCATCAAATGTAGATTTTCAGCTCCGTATAGGGCTACGCTATATTCTTGCAGGGGTACCGTTCAGAATCCTGCATAATTTTTGGACTTGTTTTGCCATTCTGTTAGTACCGCTTTTCTGCTCTTGATGCTGGAAGGTTTCCTGGCTTGGAATATGAACACCAGAACAGCTGTAGAAGATCATAACAAATTCCATTTAGCTCTGTATCCCGTCAAAGACGGCGGCCTGCAGGGACGCTGAAGAAGTGGTATAAGAACAGGATGGAAAGATGAAGTAACATTTCCCCAAAATAAGCTCTTATTCTCTAATGTCATGGTTCAGAGACTGCTTGATTTTATAAAAAGGAAAAAAGTAATGCCCTGTGCAGCGCTGGTTACCAGCTGCCTTTTTAACTTTCCAGTCTTATAAAAGCTTGTGAACAAAGCTTCTGTTTCTGCATCTTCTCTGTTTTTGTCTCCTTCACTGTTCAATACCATTGAGAACCAGAATTCCTAAACTGAAAATCAAATAACGTGCTATTTATAGAAAAAAAAAATAGTTATCCAAATGCAAGAATATTCCTTATAAATCTCAGCAGCTTAGTGTCTTTATTCCAAAAGAAAAATCACAGATAACCACATGATCAAATTTTGCAAGCTAGGATCTAGAACTAGACTTAAAATTAACCACTCGGGGCCTATCTGTGAGGCCAAATTAACCATCAGATTACTTTGTAAATTGCTATCTATTCCAAGTTCATTGCTTGTGTGTAGGTATAAATAAATGTGTACTATCTAGGACAGTGATGAACGGTGACTAAATGTGCCCTGGAAATTGTCCTGAATACTTTTTTCTAATAAATTCCTTTGTTCTGTCAGCAAGTTCCAGGAAGTGATTTCTGTACTTTAGAATAGTCAAAATGTGTTATTAAGACCCTATATTAACAATTTTTTTTCCCAGAATACTGTCTTCTATGCTCTTAGGAGATAAAGCTGCATCTCCAGTGGAAAAGTGGACTCAAACAAAAAGGTGGGCTTTGCTGTGCCTACTGTTACTGATAATCCAGACGAAGTTCTTTTAGGTAAGGCTCTTAACCGGACTAGTCTGGTATCCTAGTGTTCAGAATAAACAGTTTTCTCCAGAAGTGACTAGCGTACAGGCAGGGAGAAGAATGAGAACAGCATCTTTATAGCAGTGACCTCTGACAGAAGTTTGGGGGGTGGATACAGAGGTGTGGAATAAGGGAAACAAATCATGAGAGGGTCCATAACCAATTTTCAGAGGCAAATCAGGGAAAAAAACAACTCCAAACAACATTTTCACAGAAAAGAGAAGAGAAGAGAAGGAAATACAGAGGCAGCAGCGGTGAAGCAGCCAGGATACAGGCTCCCAACAGACTTCCCATCCCAAGGGAACTGCTGGAGGGCTTGCTCCCTCTACTGGAGCATCCCAATAGACCCACAAGAGACTTGCTAGTTTAACCCACTTTTAAGTCCACAGCAGTTCTCTTGGACTAGGAAGTAAAGATTAATGCAGGGTTGATTACCATTGCTGGCTTACTATCACAGGGATTTTTTGAAGGACTGAATATGTACTTCAATATGCAGATGAAGGCAGAGGGGAGCAAGCTATTTCATTGCCTTTGTTTTGAAAAGAAAAAAAATTGAAATCTGTATTTTTCAAATCATAATTGTATCAGTTCAGCCAAACTGGATCGTTGGAAAAGCAAGCAGACCTTTTCAGTGTCTCCTGTAATGCAGAAGAACAACTCTTGTTATATGACCTTTCCTCTAGGTCAGATTACTCATCATCATTCCTGTAGCCACGTATAGAGAAAACCACCTGTCTTTTTTAACTGTATGTTCTTGTCAAGTACAGCCTGGCCTTAAATACTTTGTCTTATGAATAAATAGCCAGCAAGCAGAGAGTAAACCTCTCCTAAAGTCTCTTCAGACAAATACAATGTCATCACTTAGTTATTTGGTGTTCACGTTAGATAATAGAAGTCATAGTAGCATGATGCATAACAACATCAAGAAACCGTGACTCAGACAGTCACAGACACAGCTCTGCTCTTGTTTGCAGTAGTTTGGGCTGAGGCTTCTCTTTCTGTCTTGCAGAATTAGGGTCACCTTTTGGCTATGAGACACCCCACATGACTTTGGACAGATTGCAGGATCTTGCACCTTGCAACTCAGCATTCTGTCTGCTCAGTGAGAGTCGAGAGCACCTTACTCTTTCATGCCTTTTTACAACTTCAGGTGCACAGCTTTGGTGTGGAATCTGCCCCCTCCTGTGTATAACATCCAACATTTGGTACAAACACCTCGAATTTTAGCTGCTTATAAGCATAGTAGTAAAAGAGTGAAATATTTGACTAAAAACTCAGCTAGATGTAAATTAATGGATATTGTGTCCTCTCCAGTTTAAACAGCTTCTCATTTTCCAGTTTTCTGTCATCTCAGTGAACACCTTGGCCCACTGGTGATCGCCTTACAAATTCAATGGAGGAAATGGAAACCAAACTCTGCAGCAGTGACAAAGAGGAAGATTTCAAAAGAGAACTACCATACTGCATAGGAGAAATAGACTTCACAGCTTCTGGGAAGAAACGTGGAAAGGTACAGCACTGAGGAGTTTAACCCCTTTAACGCTAGTGCTGTTGTCCAGCTGTTACTTCTTAGCATTAAATGTAGAGACGGTAATAGTGCGGGTCAATGTGCCACAGTGCGAGGCACCACATTGTACTCAAGGTAAGGATTATTAATACACAGAAAGCAATCACTTGGCTGGCACATGCTACAAGTACAGTTGATCAATTTTGCCTTTGAAAACAAACAAACAGAAAATATCAATCATGTGCCCAGCTTCCTTCATTTTGCATCATTTCACTGTTTTAACCTCTTCCTGCCAAAAATTGATCACTATGGATTTCAACATTTTAAACATACATTTGAGCCATTTCAGGACTCTCCTTAAAGTTCTCCGTCTCTGATCTGCTAATCTGCAGAGAAGGATGTGCATGGACAGACCCACCTCCTCACTAGTCCCTTGCATACATTAGTGCTAGAGCAGAAGGAATTCCTAGGATCAGAAATCTGCCTTAAGATTTTATTTCATCATGAAGTCTTAAGCACAAAGCCAAAATATATACAGAACAGGAAGAAGTAATAGATTCATCCTAAAAAAAAAAAAAAAAAAAAAAAAAAAAAAAAAGACATGAAATCAGGCAAATATTTCATCTAGTGCAGAAACAAGAAATGCCTAAAAAATTTGTTGGCTTTGCTAGACTGCCGTGGAACCAAGGCAGTTCAAGAGGAAGAGCAGCATTAAAGGAGAGAGAGATATGTCAGTCTGCAACACAGAATTAACCCATGGAACTGACCCAATAGCAAGATGACCATTATACAGAAGCCTGCTAAATTCACCCTAGTATTTACTTCTGTCAGGTCTTACTCAAATAAATTTTTCTTAAATAACCAAGTCAATGATAAATTTCCCTCTGCATTCACCAAGAACAATATCTCTACTGTATCCTACTGTCCCATTGTTATTCAGTGTTTTTTTGTTTTGTTTGTTGAAGTTCATTAAGGTCCCAAGTACCATTCATCCTGGAATTATATTCGAAGCTATGCTCAACAAATGGAGGCTACCTGCTCCCAATTTGGTTGTCTCTTTAGTAGGAGAAGAAGAAAATTTCCAGATGAAGTCTTGGCTACGGGGCACGTTAAAAAAAGGACTGACGAAGGCAGCTCAAAGCACAGGTTAGTGCTTTAGGCTTTAAAGAAGGAATGTGTATTCCTACTGGATTCTCACCCCTAGCATCCAGTGATCTTTTAATGACCGTGGGCCTGCTCACATGATTATTTCTGGAAGTTGAAGGTTTTGCTGAATGCAACCTTCAACCTGTGTTTAAATAGCTTTGAACATGAAAGTGTCATGGTTTAACTGCAGGTGGCAATTAAGCACCACACAGCCACTTGCTCACTCCCCACTACCCGCAGTGGGATTGGGGAAGAGCATTAAAAGAAGAAGTAAAACTCATGAGTTGAGATAAAGACAGTTTAATAGGACAGATAAGGAAGGAAAAATAATATTCTTAATAAAAGAATATACAAAACAAGTGATGCACAATAGAATCACTTACGACCCGCTGACCAATGCCCAGCCAATCCCTGAGCCACGGTGTGCCCCGGCCAACTCCCCCCCAGTTTATCTACTGGGCATGACATCATATGGTATGGAACACCCTTGGGCTGGTTTGGGTCAGCTGTCCTTGCTGTGTCCCCTCCCAGCTTCTTGTGCACTCCCAGCCTCCGCTGGCAGGGCAGCATGAGAAGCTGAGAAGTCCTTGACTTAGTATAAACACTGCTTAGCAACAACTAAAACATCAGCGTGTTATCAACATTACTCTCATCCTAAATCCAAAACACAGCGCTGAACCAGCTACTAGGAAGAAAATTAATTTTATTCCAGCTGAAACCAGGACAATTAGAAACATCAAAAATGAGTTATTTCAAACAAAATTACTCTAGGCAACGACCCCTGAAGTGTAAAATTACCTTCCCTCAGAGATGTCTCTAGAAATATAGCATAGGATGGGACCAAATACATTGTCCCTCTTTGGTGCCCTAACAAAATAATTCTTAGCAGAGCATAGCAATTTGACTTCAACGAGAGTGAATTTAGGTCAAAAATAAGAATTCTTGTTTTCTCCATTCTCACTTTTTAGCTACCAGACAAAATCATGTTATAATAGTTTTTACTTTTGAAGATTTTTTTCTTCAAATTTGAGAGTTGAACAGACTTTGTTAGTAAAACAGCCTATGATTAGACTCAAGTTTAAGCAAAAAGAGCTTCATAACATATACACAAAATAAGTCAGCTCGCTTTCTCCCTGGCTGTTTACGTGAATGATGAGAGTAGTGAAAAGCATTTCAAAACAAAACCAAACCAATCAATGTCTGGGAACATGCATGAAAGTGGCTTTCATTTAAGATGACTTTTTTTTCTCCGTAGCTTTATGAAAATACCTGGCAAAACAAAGTGAAAGTATCTGTAAGCATTTCACAGCGAGCTCTTGGTTTAGCTTCAGTGGTCCTGACAAGACTGTAACAGTTTTGCTTTTTGTAATGAAACAGCCCACTACCAGAGCTCTTTTTGGTACTTTTGTACCACACAGATATTCTCTATCTCCAGCTGCCTTCTATACTTAAGACTGGACAGCATCAAGATCTCCAGTTCCTTTAGGTTACATACTTGGAAGAGGTTGGTTAGCTCTTTACCTAGGGTTCTCCAAATTCTTTGTCACCATAACAACACTGCCGTAAATCGTGCTCTCCTGAAGAATTCTCTCTCCAACACACACAAGAACAAGAGAAAGAGAACACTAGATTAGGCACTTTGTGCCCAAGCTCTTCTGCTACCGGGTGATTGCATGGGACTGTTTAGCCCTCAACAACTTCCTCCACCCAGTCCCTTTGCTCTTGCTCATGCAACAATCAGACCTGCTTGGTATAGTGATGTTTCTGCTCATATTTAGACAGTAAGTGACTCTAGACTGGACACAGCATTCTCGATGGGCATACTAACATCAGAGTAAAGATGGCAACATTGCATTACATGGTATGTGAAGTACATTTGCCTGAGCAAATAATTTCTTCTTTTTTTCCTTATTAAAGTCTTACATACTTTGTATGTATTTTAATTCTAAAAGTTACAGTCCATCAAGACCTGTCTACAGTTTATCTTTCTAAAAAAACCCCTTAAATCCTGCAAGTACTGTTACTTGACACACAAGCATGTTCAATTATAAAAACTGTCTAACTATTTTTAAAAAAATAATTTCAGGTGCCTGGATTTTTACCAGTGCTTTGCGTGTAGGAATAACAAGACACTTAGTGCAAGCAGTCCGAGATCATGCACTGGCTAGTACTTCATCCAAAGTAAGAGTGATTGCCATAGGAATAACTTCACTCAGAAAAATTCAGCACAGAGAAATTCTGGACAACACAAAGGTATTTTTTTTGCTTATTCTATTCATGAGACAGGATTGTTCAGAAGCAAGCTGCACCTTTACAAAATTTGGAAGTAATAGGCAGAACAACGTTGATCTAGCTTAAAAACAAAAGCAGGGTTTAAAGCGTGGTTTTGGGGAAAATGGAAATAAAGAGCAGGAAAGAATTGTTAGACTGATGAGTCTGCCCTGCGCACTCCGTATCCGTGGCAGCAGTTCTGCAACTATCCAGCAGGTGACAGCATTAGACATTAACTCAGCGACCAGAGTAAGGATGAACGTCAGGGAAAAAATCATACATCATAAGGTACCTTTAATATTTTTTCCCTTGTCCACTTACTGCAGAAGCACTTACTCCAAGCTATTTCATAAATACTGTAAAAAGTATATTTTCCAGTATAGACTACAAGCCATAAGTATTTCAAGACAAGTTTACTTAAGTAGTCATTGAATTGGTGTCTAATATGCAAAAATGTGCTCAACACACCAAGCCAAAAATGCTAGCCATGCAGGATTTTGTCGCTGGGAGCTTTAGGGACTTCACAATTCAGGTCAAAGCAATCAAAGTTCTTAGGAAAAAAACCACCACAATGAAATATGAAATAAACCCCCTCACCCAACAAAACAGTTGCTGAAAATGTCATGACAAGTTGATGCTGAATTGACCTGGAGGTGGAGAAAAACAATTATGGCATGACCATCTTGTCACTGGATATACACTGCCCTGAGCAGAACATTATAATAATAAAGTAGGTGCATAATGACGATGAATGACCGTTCCTCTGTGCTATTTTACTTCCCTGCAGAAGCTAAGAACCAAATGACAAATCCAGTCCTTCGAACTCACACCTAGTTCTTCTCTCAGATAGGCTAGCAAGTACCAGCCAGCAGCTGGGAGACTGCCAGACCGTATCAACAATTTATTGTCTTTGGGCTTCCCCTTTTTCCATATTTTTTTTTTTTTTTGCTGAGGACAGCTACCTGTGTGCTCTACCAGGTGGGACTCTTTAGCTGGAATGTTTTAACCTATTTGTGTGGCTGAACTGGTCTGAAAGGACCTCAGAGGAAAGAATTCCGTTCATTGCATTTGTGAATTTTGTTCAGGAAAGTTGCTTTGGCAAACACAAACTATTTCACCTCCCTCCCAGGCTAAGTGATCAAAATGCCTCTGGATCTTTCTCAACCAACAGCTACAAAACAAGTGCACTGGTCGTTTCATTGCATTAGAGTTTCTCCCCCTTAACTAAAGCCCGAATTTTTTGTCAAGGAATATTTCATGTAGAGCGTTCCTGACCCTATGACTTCTGGCACTGCTTCAACCCAAAGACATTCTGGATTTTTGTCAGTAACTTTAAGACAAAGGAACTATAGACAGGGATGTTGATCTAAACCCAGTTCTCTTTATACTTGGCACTAACACAAGCAGCTTGTATAAAATAGAGCTAATGATCCATGCTAGCAAGGAGAAAAACAAGCCCTGAAATCGGCGGATCCCTCTCATCTCTTCTGTGTTAATGGTATGCTTTAAACATCATTGAAAGATCACTTCCACATTTTCAGAGAATAAATAGGAAAATCCCCGTGGGCCTTTTTAAATTGGTTGTTGTGCCTCTGGGTCCTAATCAAAGGCCAGATCTTTGGCGAGCAGACTTAATGTTACATGGCAGCAGAATGTAGGAACGCCCTCTGTCAAAACAAAGTTTGAAGGCAAATTAATCGTGTCAAGAAGTTTTCCCTAAGAAATGAGAGACAGAGGAGGTGGTAAAAGAAATTTGTGTCACTTGCTGTTTGTAAAGGATGTGCAAGTTTACTGCTTTTATTCCTGGAACCGCCTCTGTTGTCCCTACTCTTCCCAGAGCTGCTGACAGGGGAAGAAGCCATAGGAACATGCCTGATTAAGCCCCTTCACCTTACTTTCAAGGAGATTTCTCTAGTTTGATTGTATGCAGCTTCATTTCAGAAAGCCACTTAAGGGCATGCTATACAGTGTGCTCAGCTCTTCTACCCGCAGCGTGAAGGAGCTTGTCTTCTGGGTGACTTAGTGTTTTTCTGCATTAGTAGCACTGCTGTGAGCTCCTGGTGATAATATTCACTGCCTCTCCAACATCAGCCTTAGCCTTGGCTGTGGAGAGCCACGTGGATAACCCCTGGGTTGGACTTCCCCCAGGACTCAGTGGGGCACCTGCTCTTCCTAGCAGACACTGCCAAAAGCTGAGGATAAGAAAGGCTCTACTTAAGATCTGGCTCTTAAAAACCAGAATGTAAATCTCCCTCACATACTTTAATGACAACTGTGTTACTTGCATAGTTACACTGCTGTGTCTAGAAAGGCGTTAAAACCTGTCTGTGTCCACAAAATTAGCGGGAAATTCAATACACAGGCACAATAGCCAAGCTGACAGTGTGAGTTTCGTTCATCAACTCAAAGGCTGCAGGAGTTCAAAAAGAGGCATGATAGAAGGAAATGCAGATTTTAAACAACGGCTTTAATCTGGTGTACTTGCAACAGGATGGTTACTATGAAGATGAAAAAGAGGAATAACCAGGCATTTACATCCTGGCTTGCAACTAGGAATGATATCAAAGTGGACGTGCAACAGTGGGAAAGAAAGATTTATCAAGGAAGTAAGGGAAGCTTGAAAAAGTGTGCGTATGGAAGACTATAGGTAGTGCAATCCTTAGAAGAGAAGACTATAACAGGAGTTCTGTTTTACCCAGACAGTGCTTTTATGCAAAAATTCATTAATAAATAATTTCAAGATACAACACCCTTCACCCAAAATAAAAAATTAGTAAGATTGCACTTTCTAAAGTCTGCCTGTCACTCACTCTTTTAGAATGCAATTTCCAAACTGAGAATAACCTTGTCAATTGAAGTCATATAACTTTGTCTATTAAATAAAGCTGCATTTAAATGGATATGGACATAGAGCAGGCTAACTTATCTACTGGGCTAAACATGGACAAAACACTAAATAGGTTTGCCCCTGTTTATGTTGGCTGAGATTTTAGCCCTCCAAGACATTACAGCTCCATCCACAATTATTAGGTCTTACGGCCCCTTTCCATTTGTCCGACAAACATTTCCAAAACCTCTCAATGAATACCTGTGTTCCAGAGATGGTGACTGATGTCACTATATTTTGCAGAGCCCAAGAGGGAAACTTCAGAGACTTCAGCTTTCAGTCCTGTCAAATCTGGCACCTCTCAGAAGGAACACATTTCCCTCCTCTGCCCTTTTCAAAGAGTCTGTTCAAGTGTCTCAAAGGTGGTGTGCTATGTCATGGTGCAGACAACACAAAAACGGAGATGAAGCACATAAAAACACAGGCTGTGTTTTGTAGAGAACATTAACATCTCTTCTCCTCTCTCTAGAATGAAAGTCTTGTACACTACCAATCAGACGATAATATCCAAGGACCGCTGTATTCCCTGGACCACAACCATTCACACTTTATTTTGGTGGATCACGTAACACCAGATGAGCCAGATGGAACCACTAAGCTACGTCTCACCTTGGAAAAGCATATTTCAGAACAGCGTACTGGATATGGTGGTAAGTAGACTCTATATAGGCACGCTAACTTGAATAACACTGATAGTACAGTGATACTTGTGGGCCTGGCCTTATCAAAGGTAAGTCCAATTCTCAAACTGGACAATCACCCACACAGGCAAGATCAAGTAAACATATTTGTTATTATGTAAGAGACAGAACTAAGGTGACTTCTGAAGCTGAGAAGGCTGCTCTTTGAACCAAAAATCCTGACTTTTATCACAGCTCCTTAAACATAGCTCAAATTGCCTTAAAACACACAAATGGAAAATAAATCCAGCTTTAAGTGCCTTAGCCAGTGTCTCTGAGAGATGGGTATTCATTGTTGTATACTTTTGTTCCCTCTCGCACACAGGGTCTTGAATTGTTCCGACACTGGAAGAAAAGGTGTGTTCCAAAGCCCTCAAATATTTTATTTCAGGATAAAATCTTATCCTGGGTAAACAACGTAGCATCTAATGGCTATCTAAGTCTATGTGACCTTTGTTTATAATGAGAACTGAGTATTGGGCAGGCCTCCTACTGCTATTTGTGGAAAGAATTCAGTTGTAGGGCTAATACAATTACTTTTACCTTTCCTTTGTTGCTGTAATACTACAGTGCTAGCACAGCTAGAACAGAAGGGAGAGCTCACGTATTCGCACTTGTATGCGTCAGTGGAATATTCGATTACATGGCCCGTAGTGTGGGTGCACAGATGTACCCCAGAGCATGAACACACCCAAAGAATGCTTATCTGGTAACTCGGATGGGAAAGAGCACAGCTGGACTGTAATGGCAGGCTGGGGTTGCAGTGCTGAGAACTAGAAAGCAGCCTCATTCTGCTTGCATACCAAATCTGACTGAACGAATCTCAGTGGAACAATTTTCTGTCAAAAAAAATGCTGAGTCATTTGATGAATATTTCACTGGAACATACTGAATTCAGTGATATCTTCCATAAACAAAACCAATGTCATTTGTTTAAGCTCATTTATATTAAAGCTGAAAGAAGCTATGTGACTTTACTGAAGTAAAACACTTTAATAAGGTCATGCAGAAGTTCTCTATTTGAAAAAATACCTAGAAGGCATTCAGGGGAAATTTTTAATATGCATGAAGTCAGAATCACTGCCACCACGTCTCCTCCAGCTAAATTTTATCTAAATCTATGGCAAATGAAAAATATTTGAAGCCATAAACAAATCTTGAGGAACCTGTAGTCACATCACTCTTCAAACTAGTACATCACTGTAGAGGTACGGCAATGCTGTGCCATTCAGTAAAACAAATGAAGTTACTTGCCAATCACGTCCTGACTACAGCTCACTTCTACCTGAGCTCTGTAGCCATCCCACAACAGAGCCAACAAGTACTAAGTGGTGATCAGTACACTGCTCTGGGAGACCTGTAATGGGAAACATCAAAAAATTGGTGGAACCAAATGCCTTTTAGCTTCTAACCGAAAGAGACATTCCTCTCATGATGCTACTGTTTTGATTGAGCTTTTAGGCTAATCTGTAGTCACCTTTGGATTAGAGTTCAGCATTTACAGTACAAACCATCTAGAAATAAGTGGGCCCCTGTGGGAGGATGGCTAAGGACAAGGATGCCTTCATCATTTCTTCCTCTGCTGCCATGGCATATTAAATGTTTCGTTAGCATTTCTTTTAAATGTATAAGATTATGTTATTAATAATCACCACATTAGACTGTGCTGAATAAAATTTTAAGCTGTTTAAGCAGAGTAATAAAGAGTATATGGTTCCTATCAACTCATCTGACTCATCTGACCCTAACTGGTCTACGTAGTCAGACTCTTCATATTCTTATGTCCTCCTTTCATCAAGCTTTCCTCCTGGATTCCACTATACCTTCCTGCACATGCTAGGCACATGCGTAACACCTGGGACAAACTGGCAGCTTTTCACTTCTAACTGTATCTTAGTATAAATAATGGTAGCTGCCTCTCTGAAAACCTAACAATCTTGTCTTGCACCCAAATGCAGCTTCATTACTCCACTGTCTGATCACCTTGCAGTAAATAAATAACTTAAAAAGTCAACACTGCTATGACATACAGAAGTGCCTATATCCATATTTTGCAGCTGAGGTGAGAACAGACTGGACTGCTTGCCAGGGGTCACACAAGACATCCAAGGCAAAGGTGGCTTTGTCCTGAACCTTAGACTAGGACCCTGTCTGCTCAGTCACAGTGCTGTTCTCTTCCTTTGCTGCTCGTTTCTGCAATTGCCTGCCATCTGCAGGCTCACATTCTGGTACGTACCAAAACAACACATAACAGGAGAAGGACTTTCAAGGACTCGGCAAAAACACAACAGTTTTGTGAAAACTGTTAACTTTTTTAAAATTAAACCATCTATTTCACAGGAACAGGTAGCATTGAGATCCCTGTGGTTTGCTTACTGGTAAATGGAGGACCAGGCACACTTGAGGTAAGGAGCTGTTTGCAACTTTAGAAAAATAAAATAACTGGTGCTAAGTAATTAATGGACAAATTGGCTGGATGACAAAACCATGTATCAGCCCTTTACATAGTCAAAATTCATATCTACACACCATTAAGAACAGAATTCTGTTAATATTAAATTTTCCAGTATTTGTTTGGGAGAAATATTTCCTTTTGAATAGGCATCAGCTGATCATTAAAGCTTCCATTGCCAGCTCATACAGTGGGAAGGAATCCAAAAGCAAAACAAACCCACAGAAGCCAGCTCCAGATCTAGTGAAGCAGAAATACTGTGCTGTTACTGGAGATTACATACAAAAAAAGATTATTGATTCAGTGCTATCCAGCAGCAGAGACAACGGTCTCTGTCACGCAGCTTCAGAAGAAATACCAGACCAGGTTTGCTAGGTATGCCATTTAAAACTATAGTGCCCTAGTTCCACTCAGCAAAAATACATTGTAGGATAGAAGACTGGAGAGTTGTCTGCTAACAATTCCATATGTTCTTCAGCGAACGATCAGTTTTGATTTTTCCCTGAGTAGTTCTACAGCTTAAAGAACCTCTTAACTAGCAGATACTCTTTGATTTCTATTCTACTTTTACTGGTATTTTATTTTGCTATTTTGTAGCAGTCTATATGTCCACATGACACTTTTTTAATAATACTCTCAGATGAAAAGGAATTCTCTTACAGTACCTTTAGAGATACATTTAACCATAATTTAAAGTTTCCAAGTGATGAGACTCTGCCACACAAGCTGGTAACCTCTTTCAGAATAATGACTCATTTCTGGTGACGTTTTCTAGTTTCAGTTTCCAGTCCCTGAATCTTGTCATGTCTATGTCAGCTGGACTAAAACACTCACTGGTATTAGAAATCTCACTGTTTAAACTAGGATTGTGTCACCTCTTGAGATTTCCTTCTAGAAGCTAAATATGGCAGTGTTTTCTATATCTTGGATGTTGAAAAACCGCATACCACAACCTATACATCCTCTTTCAAAGTTTTAGAGATCAAAGTGACTTGGAGACCAAAGGTGACTGGCTGGAGCTGCCCTAAATTTACATGTGGATAACTGATTGTGCTTTTTTAGAATATCAGTTTCTGGAATACAAATTGGATAATACACACCGGGACTACAACAGGTGTTACAAAAAAACCACCACCACTTAAAAAAACCCTATGCAACGAGAGAACCAATAGTTAGATTCTTACAGTCTCATTAGCTCCAGAGTAAGAAATAGATGGGCAGCAAATAGTCATTGTTGCAATTACGATGCCATGGCCTCTGCTTTCCTCTCTCAGCAACCTGCCTGACTCATTCTAATTGCACAGGTAATAGAATTATCAGCCTTTAACTCCTGTAGTTGCTGTGCTTCAGTGGCTTTTCCTGCGGCCCAGTGTTGTATTCCCACAGGCAAACTCCTGATTTTCAGAACATATTGCCAGGTTTAGCAGCCAGAAGAGCCTACTGAGAATTTCTGTACAGTGCTCCTCCTGCACTTGGCCGTGCTGAAATACAAACTGGGGGGGAGGGCGGGGGGAAAGTCAGGGACAGAGGAGTTTTATACATCGTTTGTCCAAGTCAGGTTGTTTGGCTTCTCAGCAGATGTGTCATGAAAAGAAGTGTAGTCGGAGGCCTATACATTGATGACCTGCTACAGATTCAGAAGAATGGTAATAGCTTAGAGGAGTCTGGACTGACTCCATAGTGAATCTGGCTTAGGTACACATTTATTCCTAGTTTGCAAGAAATCCTTCTTTTGAATAACATTTTATTTCCATAAATGAATTCTAAAAATGTACTTTTTAAACTACAGAGAATTTGCAGCGGTTTGGAAAATTCTGCTCCCTGGCTTATTTTAGCAGGGTCTGGAGGTACAGCTGACATCTTAGCTGTATTCATGAAGGACCCACAGCTTATCATGCCAGAAGCTGTTGAAAAGCAATTTAAGGAGAAATTCCCTGCAGAAAGCTTCTTGTGGAAGGACATTCTCCAGTGGACAGCAACAGTGAGCTCATACATTTGATAATTACATGCATCGTGTTCACAAGCTCTCTCCTACCATTTCTAGCTTTGGTAGTCCATTCAGTGCAAACTTGACAAGAAGCTGCCCAGAAGTTTCGGGTACTCCAGTGCTCTCACACTAGCCTCCTAGCATACCTCTCTAACGTTAAAATAAAGTGCTCAGTTGATCATACAAACTACTTTGTCCTAGTGATTCAGCTGAAGAGTTAGGGCTCTGTCCTTCCTCAATTATATCCTCAAGTAACAGCCAGCACCCAGGAACCTCCCAGCCCTTCTAGAGGACACGAAGCATTATTTATAGTGCACAGCTGTAGAGCTTGTGCAGCTGTGACAGAGGAGACCTAATTCACAATCTACAGCTGTTAAATGGAAACCTAATTGTGGATAAGCATGAATAAACTAAAAAGAATGAAGGGTGTTTAGAAAGTATCTTCTCTATTGTCAGTTATGTCTGTTCTTAAAAAGGAAAGACAAAACAGATTCACAATTTTTCCTTACTCTGTCTTGAGGCACACCTGCTGGACTTAAACCACTGTGCTTAAGTGTTTAAGAAGCAAAAAAACACATTGATAGTGTCTTTATGGGAAGATTGAAGAGGCCTGTGCACCTCTGAGAGAAACCAAGTCCACTCAACCTGACCCACTACTTATTCTTTGCAGTCCCTGCAGTAATCCTTAGCTTTAAAAGTTCCACATATTAATTCCACTAAGGAGACCTTTGCCTGATCAGTAACACAAGGGGATGGAAGGGCATCTAGAAGCAATATTGCCAGATGCTTACAAAGTCTTGGTGCAGCTGCACTGCAAGAAAGAAAACTATAAATTATAAAGTAGCAGAAGAGTACTGTATATACCAATATTTGATGACTAACTCAAAGAAGATTTAGAGACTATAATTTTAAATAAACAACTCTGAGAGCAAAACTTAAATGTCAAAGCAGAAAAAGGTAAAACAAAACTAGTGGTATGATGACCACAGCATGACTATGAGTCAAATACAAAGGTCATTTAAGGAAGGATCTTTTAATTAAAGCACTGCTCTGATTCTCAGGATATCCAGGTTCTGTTCCTCCTATCCTGCTAGGTGATTTTGGAAAAGGCAGTAACTCCCTCCTTGCTTTAGGACTTAGTTGTGTATGGGAAAATAATAATGTTGTCTTCTTGCCAAACCTCAGCTTTACAATTAGAATGTAAGTTTTTGGGAAATACTTTATGGGTGGGTGATCTCCACTAGGCTCTTAGGCATTAATGTATAGCAGCAGGTCAATGCACAAAATAATTTTTGTTTCAACTCCCAATAGATTCAGAACATTATTTCACACCAACATCTTCTAACACTGCATAACTTTGAGCAAGATGCTTCAGAAGAACTAGACACAGTCATTTTAAAAGCATTAGTAAAAGGTAAGTACAAACACAAGCACAGTGTAATACTCATTTTATTTGACTACTTCTGCGCCATAGATGTATTTCATTTTTGTCCAAAGCAAGTTCAGTTGGCTGTTGGATAAGATTTCTGTTCTGATAGAGTTCTTTATTTGCTTATTGACTGTGGCAATTGCCATAGTTCTTGTAACCTGGCTTTAAACTAGTGATTGCAGATCGACTTGCAATTATTCCTTTATTTCACTACTTGCTTCTCTTAGTAGGAGAGGTTATAGAAAAACTGAAACATACCAAAATAGTTATTCCACTTAAAAGCCATTTAAAAAAAACCCAAACAAAAAAAAACAAAAATATGCAAGTAGATCTGAACTGCCTTAGTTCCAGAAACAATCCATTTCTCCTGTAAGAAACCTTCACTGGGGATTACAAAAGATGACATTACTTGCTCTGCCACCCATTTCAGTTTGTGTTAACTTAGGTGTTTGTGTTAGCCTAAATTCAGCGGGGGGGAAGACATTCTATTCCCAGATTGCTAATTGAAACAAGACAAGAAATAATAGCCAGTCCTGTCCCTGCTTTCTGCAGGCCAGAGCCCCTCTTAAAATCCTACAGACATTTAAACTTAATGTTTCATAGAGAATTTGGCTAGCAAAAATTAACTTTTTTTAATATTAATATTTTTCAAATTAGGAAGAAAAATGCTGTGAAGGATTCCTGGTTATACAGCCCATAGATAGCTGAAGGAGAGCTTGTATTGCTAATCAAATTACCAATACTATATTAAATTAAGCATAACAAGCGTAAAGTACTGAGTTTGCTTTCCTTTCCTATTTTTGCCAGCGTGTAAAAGTCACAGTCAGGAGGCTCAGGAATATCTGGATGAACTGAAGCTGGCAGTGGCCTGGAATAGAGTGGACATAGCTAAAAGTGAAATATTCAATGGTGACGTGGAGTGGAAGGTACCAGGTTTTATTGCCTTAGAGGACAACAGGCGTATAATCCAGTGTATACAGGACACTGGAACGTCCTGATAGAAGGCTTCAGTTTTTAACACTACCTGCATTCCCCACTAAGAGGTTGAGCAGTGGCAGCGTGCTTCCTTAGGCTGTTTGTCTTTCTGGTCCCCTATGTGATAGCGGCTAAAGATAGAAGAATAATTCAGTGTTCACAATCTCTTGTTTGAGGATGCTGGGGGCAAGAATCTTTCTCCCCATTTCTGTACAGACCATTAAAGCAAACAAACCTGAGCTTACAAAGCAAAAGAAGCACGAACATGCAGATATTACTGTTGTAAGATGGCAGGAAGAATGTCACTGTTTCCGACTGCTGTATAAATACCCAGTGCGGCGGGTACCTAACATCACCACAACTCCTACAGCATGCTATTTGTGTTGATGTTTTAACATTAATGCTTAGACAGATATTTTGTCACAGAGAAATTAAGAGTGTTCTACTTCTTTTTCTCATTGTAACCACTGTTGACCTGGTAGAAGTCAAAATGTGCGTGTCCTTATGTTAAATCTTACGTCCCTCCTCATCCATCCACAACTACCCCCAAAAACAACTTTTTTTTTTTTCCCCCCCTTCATCAATCTAGTCCTGTGACCTGGAGGAAGTGATGATGGATGCTCTGGTCAATGACAAACCAGAATTTGTAAAATTATTCGTTGACAATGGGGTTAACATATCTGAATTCCTGACATACAGTCGTCTGCAGAGACTATACTGTGCCATTTCTCAGAAATGTCTCCTCTATGAACTTCTGCTGAAGAAACATGAAGAAAGCAAGCTGACCTTGGCAGGGCTCACTGGTCAGCAGCATAAGGAGCAGAAGGAGATCTGCCCACTCTTCACTCTCAGTGAGGTCTCTAGAGTTCTCAAGGATTTTCTCCACGATGCAGGCAAAGGTTTCTACCACGACCTCAGACATGGAGGCAAGAAGAAATCTGTGAGTTACAACTTTCCGTCATAGTCCTGCTCCCCTCCAATTTAGAATCTGGAAAATTTTAACTAGGTCTAGCCTTGGGGGGTGGGCCAGGGAAGGAAAGGGAAGATGAGAGAAAGCCACTTTGGTTTCTCATTCCTTTTTTCAGCTCATTATTATTACAGCTAAAATGGTTTGATCTTTTTAATTTCAACATTGAAAAGAAAGGAATTTCTAAGATAGACAGGTTGTGATTCCTCTTTCTCCCCCTCGCACGTGGGGCTTTATGCAAGGTCTTACTGTACCTTGAACTAGTGTTAAGATATGGCATCTGTTTCAGGATCTGCAGAGGCCCCTGAATCTCACACTCTTCTAGCACAACTTCCACAAACCTCATTCTAGCACTTTGCATGTGGAGAACATTTTGTTGATCATCTTCGCCTCACATGCATAAGAACAGATTCAATGAAAGATATATGGGGAATATGAAGAGATAGGTTTAATTTACTAAGGAGTAATTAGACATAAACCCAGCAGTCCGCATTCGTCATACAGAACTTCAAGCAGAAGTACTTGAAAGACAATATTTTGTTGGAGAAAGACAAGCAGGCGATGGCCGTTTTCAATCCCAGGTCTGAAAATGGTAATCTTTGTATGTAAAACTATTCCTAGATTTATACTGTGTAGGAGTAGATTGGCTATTCAGTAACGTACAGTAAATGATATTTGGCTTTAGATCATAGTCTTGCCATTGAGTGACATAACACGCAGCAAGAAGTAAGAACAATTGTGTGAAGTGGCCCTGGCAAGCTCTCTGGCCAACACATGACAAGGATAACATGTGATGGGTACCACTGTGGAACATCTGTAGTGCACTGTCCACAATTGTGCAATAGATGTGTCATAATTTTTGCATTTTGACACTGTATTTAACATTGAAATTCAGTTCTTGCAAGAGCAGTGGAAATAAATTTGGATGTATGATTTCAAAACAGAGAGGTATAAAGAAAATTCATTAAGATCAGAGTTTTAGACAAACTAAACAAACCATTTGATATTTGCTGAGTTCTAGTTTCATCTTAAAACTGTTTAAAAAAAATTCTCACTCAAGAGCTTCAATCACTTCTGCTTTGATAAAGCCTAGCTATATTAATTAGCAGTATGAAAAGCTAAGTTTGCATCTAGTCAGGATTTCTTTGTTCACAAGGACAGACAACTTGCGGCATTACCTTTGAAGTCATTAAGCGGACTCCAGACTTAGAAGTTTTACAGAAACAGAAATTTTCCCCCAAAATCTCACTTACCTTTGTGGGATTTGGCAGTAAGTGAGCTAAAGCCAAGTGCTGTAAATAAGGCCCAATTCAGATACCAGGCACACTGCCTGCTAGTTTTTTTTCCTTTTAAAAGCTTCTTCCCGTGGCTCAATCCCATTACCACTGGCAACAGAAAGAGCATCACTCTACTGGGATACCAGTGTCACTGCTGCTAAACTGCGTGTCTTATTTCAGGTTAGGAAGTAGCAGTTACAAAGACTGATGAGGAGGCTTTTGGGATATGTGTCTCCTGCAAGGTTTTTGATGCAATTCAGTTGATTAAATAGCTCACTACAAACTGAAGAAAAAAAAACACAAACCACCAACACCCCCCAAAAATGACATTAAAATAAATTTGAAAAGAATCTCATAGTTTAAGTTATTAAAAAAATATATATCCTTACAAAAACTTGTTTATTAAAACAAACAAACCACCACTCCGGCTGCTTCTAATTAACAGAACAGATATAAAGACAGTTTTAAAATATGTTTAAAACTCAGAACTTGACCTAAGTTGTCATACTTCCTCTGGAGAGTTTTTTATCAAATGCTAAAGGAATAAGCAGTGCTGTACTTAAAATACTCCCTGCATGAGGGAGAGGTTTTTCAAAGGAAAGACTAAAAAGAAGCTACTGACATACTCTATTCTTGTCCTGTACAGGGCCTTGGCAAGATTTATTTCTGTTGAAATAAAATGCCTTTTGTTCCCTTTTCTCTGAAACCATGTCCTCTGTGGCAGTTGAGCAGAATTCAATATAATTGAAAGCAAGCTCAGATTAGTTAATCACAGGTTTGTCTTGTATGATATTACACACCAGTGGTGAAACCCTGGCCTTAATAAAGTCAATGAGAGCTTTACCAGCGGCTTCAATGGAGTCACGGTTTCATCCAGAACGTTCTCACACATATTGAATTATATCGGGGACACAAGGGTCCTTTGATTCAGTACAGAACGAACTAATTACCTCTCAGTCCTACAGAAAAGAGAAAGAAAAATCAAAAGAACATGAAGTAGCTGGCAAGGCCAAGAGCAGCTTAGATCATGTAATTTGCATGGAATGAGACTGCAAAGCAGGTTTTAATTTCTACAAACTATATTTCAGGATAAACTGAATACAAAGCAATTACCTGAGTGCTTGGACATGAACCAGAAAAGCGAAAATCCTTGGAGGGATCTGTTTGTATGGGCAGTACTTCAAAACCGGCACAAGATGGCAAACTATTTCTGGGCTATGGTAAGCTTTGAGCTGTGGCTGCTTCAGGGGAAATATCACATATTTCAAGTACATGAGATTTTTTTTTTGCTCAGCCTTGCAGCTCAGATGACAGATAGGTTTGTTTCTAAAATACAAGATGTGGCAGTCATAGGGCCTTTCATCTCTGTGTGGCTTATGCCAGCAGGGGCCAGAGGGCCTGACTGAGAGGGAGGGCAGAGCAGCAGCAGGTGTAGATCAGCACAGCCTGAATCCCTGCTGATCATCTTCAGCTGAAGAGTTGTCCCTCCTCTTCCTT